GATTTTTCTTCTTTTAAATGCTCCACACAGAGTTTTTTGAAACTTAGATTTGACTTTTACTGTTTGAGTTTTTCTAAAGTGTACCTACATTTTTAAAAAGTTTTTCCATGATAAAATAAAATCTTTTATGGGAAATGAAATTTTGATTATAGTGAGAATAACAAATTCTAATACTGATAACCTATTATATATACGAGACAGGTAACATAATCCACAAAATATTTAAATCATATTGTATCTTCAGAACTGTCAGAGCTTTGATTAGGAATCAAATCCTTAGATTAATTAAAACTTAAAAAAATCTGCCAAAATGGAAATGTTTCTCTGACCTTTATTAAGTAGCCTAAAAACACTGGTATTTAGGTTAATGTTTTTAACATATTTCTGCTATTCAGATTATTAAGCTCCTTTTTCTCTGCTACATTACCACTAACTGGGATGTACTTTAACATATTATAGTTACCATCACATTTTAAATGTAAAATGAGTGGTATTTTATTTCCAACAGTCATTCAAGTTTAACACAATTGCACAGGCTTATGTTAAGGATGTTAAAGTCATTATGAGCTAGAACCTTACTTTGGATCAATACAACTCCTGAGGATCTTTTGTGAATGCACAGGTCACATCATCTATGGGTGAAAAACTATGTCCAAGTTTTCATCTCAGGAATGCAAATCAGAAAGCCCTGGGTTCTGTAGTCAGCTGATGCTTATGATAAAATTGTAAAAAAGGATAAACTGCTACAGGTCTGGTTTTACTAACTAAATTCCATTTCATGTGTCCTCAGGAAATTCTTCTAAAGAAAATATACAGTCAGCTAATAAACTGACAGGGATAAACTTACGCTGAATTTTCCAAACTACGTCTTCAACATTAAACCAGAATGAGGTACTGATCCTTACACCATGTATTTGGCAACTCAACTTCTGAGAGAAAAAAAAATCCACAGGCAAAGAATCAGCTGGTATGTGAGCACCCCTGGTGGCTGGCTCTGATTTTGCAGCTCCGTAAGTGTAAAAGAGGCAATATACTCAGCATCACACTGTGCACAGCAGCTTTTAGTGAATATTTATCCATTTAATAG